AGCACCAGACATGTATGTGGTACACAGACATATATGCAGGCAAAACACCCATGCACTTAAAATTTAACAGAAAAAAATATTTACTCTGATTTGATTTGGGGAAATCCAGCAAAGTTTCAAAGGCTTAAAACACATATTCAAGATCATATCACAGGTGACAGACTGTCTCTTCAGCCCAGTGACCTTAGCACTTCAAAGGCAAATGCAAATACTCAAGGTGTTGCCTTAACTTAGCTCTTTTACAGAGGACTGGGGTTCTTCATGTGAACAACACCTTAATAGGGAAAGTGTGAGCACAGTGAGAACAGGTTCCCTGTTTTCTAGGCCAAGGACCCCGAGTTTAAATTAAATCCTCCACAGGATCCTGTTAAGCCCCAGCCATGCTGACAGGGGAAAGGAGGCTGTATGGCCTAGAACTAACTTGCTCATGTTCCAAACACCGAAAGGGCCAGGCAGCATGCTAAGAAAACCTTATTAATGTTTTAACAGCAGGAATGAAATTGTAGTGTTCTGGTGAACTTTAGATACCACTGCTCAATTTTTAGGAAAATTTGTGGTTAGCTCCTCTCTAATCTCAGCAAACATGGTCATGTGTCCGCAGCCTTCCACAGAGCTCTCTTCTGTTCAGGTTTGTCCTATTTCCTCATCCTGTTTCTGAACTGATCATAGGCTTTAGCACAAAAACTACCCCATTTTCCCTAGAAAGAAGTATCACTGTGTTCTGAGGTTAACCTTTCTAAGACACATATTGTCTTGTAAGGGTCTCGGTTTTAAAAGTTCATGTCATGCATTATTTAAAATTTAATTTTGAAGTTGTTTATAATTGCATCTCTGTGTATGTATGTGTGGGCATGTGCACATGAGTGCCGTTGCCTGAGGAGGCCTGGGGTGTAAGATTCCTCCAGAGCTGGAGTTTTAGGCTGCCCACTATGGCAGCTGGGACCCAACCAGGGTCCTCTGCAAGGGCAGTGAATACTCTTACCCTGTGAGCCGTCTCTCCAGACCCCTCATGAATTGTTAGAAATTTAAATCTCTGTTCTCGGGTGCTGTCCACCTCATATTATGAGCCAGGTTGCTCAACTGGCTCAGAAATCAGGAGGGTGGCTGTCCAGCAGGGAGGCGTCTCTCTCTGATCCCCCAGCTCTGGATTTCAAGCATGTGTCATCATATCCAGGTTTTTGAAATGTGAATTCTGGAGATCTGACTCAGGCTCTCATGCTGCTGTGGCAAGGCCTCTCCTCACTGAGCCCTGTTGTTTTAGATTTAGAGGTAGTGTCTTTCTGGATTAGACAGGCTAACTCTGAGCTCAGGCTAGCACAGGCAGAGGTGCAAGTCTTATAATTCTGTGCCCCTGGGCCACTGTGAGGAATTAGCTTGTTAAGTTTAATTCCTAACATCTGCAGAAAGTGCATTTGAAATTGTGCCTTACCAACTGTCTACAGTCTCAACCTGGGGCGGGAACCTTCCTCATCCCTTTAAAGACTGCCCCCACTTAATGTGCTCCTGATGTGGTGGTGAGTTCCCAGAAAGTCACTGTGGCTCAGCCCAGGTCTCAGAAGCACCAGGATGGGTTCTCCTTTAAAAACTGACAAGTTTGATAGCATTGTTCATACCTAGAAAGTAGGCCATGTGCTGCGAATCAGAGTGTGGAATGTGGAAAGAAGCTATTGTGGTTCTGTTTAATAAAGAAGCAGAAACTTCAGCAAATACTGTAAGTTGGGGTTCTAACCATGGAAGATGCTGCAGAGGGAAGGAACATGGATGAGGGTTTAGATGCTGCACTGAGTAGGATGGCAAAGATGGAGACAGCAGGTGGCCTGACAGCCTGGATGGGCAGCAGAGGCCTCAGCAATCACTGCATCGGGATGAGGGAGTCAAAAAGGTTTCCCAAAACGGCAGAACTGACACGTGGCAATTCAAAACCACCTGAAATATTTGAACAGCAAACAAGCTGCACACACACAGCGTGAGTGTAAACGCTTACTCTGGCATGCTGTGTATTCCATGGAAATTGTTTAGGAAAACAATTTTTCCAGTGTCAAACCGTCCAGTGAGAATTGGTGATTTCTCAGGACTATCATGGATGACACAAGCAAGCACATTTGTAGCCTGACCACAGGTGTGTGACTTCCTTAGCAAAAGTACCCTTACATCTTACTAAGCAAAACTGTTCACACACACACACACACACACACACACACACACACCATGTACAAAATCGTGTATAGTGCTTTTGTAAGGATTCAGGCATTATGCTGGTTTGTCCCTGTCACCTGGCAGAATGTTCTCAGGCAGTGTTCTGGTCAGCCCAGGGTTCCATGAGTACTAGTCTGCAGGCAGGTGCAAAGGACCCCTTTGCAAGTCAACCCCTGCCCACTTACACTCTTTTTGAGGGGTAGGGTCAACAGAATGCCAGTTTCTAACAAGTTTTTCTTCAAATACATCTGAAGGCAGAATTGTCTGTCCCTCCAGCTAGGTACCAGATAACCACACAGATAGTTATTATTAATTATAAATGCTCAGCTTATAGCTTAGCCTTGGTACTAAAGAAATCTTACCATTTAAATTAACCCATATTTCTTGTCCATGTTCTCCCATGTGACTCAGTACCTTTCCTCAGTGTGACATGTCCATCTTGCTTCTGTTCGAGTCTCCTGGTAACTCAGGCCTCCTTCACCCCAGTATCTCCTCTGCCTTGAAATCCTGCCTTGCTCTTAGCCATTCAGCTTGGTATCAAAACAACCCAAGTGACACCTACTCACAGTGTTCAAAAAGATTATTCCACAACAATATTTTTTTTTTTGAGACAGAGTTTCTTTGTGTCTGGAACTCTCTCTGTAGACCAGGCTGGCCTCTAACTCAGAAACCTGCCTGCCGCTCCTGAGGGCTGGGATTAAAGATATGCATCACCACTACCTGACAAAATATTTTGATCTACCTCACCCCATTGTTTCTACCTATTCCTAGTTTGGAAATACATACACAGAAAAATGTGTGAACTATATAATTTATAAGTAGGAAAATCCAACATTGATACTGGACAGGAGATACTGCTTGTATCAAATCCAGTGAGTGTCTCTCTCATAAGCTTATCCTTCCCAGAATTCCATGCTTGGAATCCTCACTTTGTGACCAACGTTTCCCACTCACAGTCAGTGCAGGTCAGCTTTGCGTGATTACTGAGATCTGCATCCTTGTGTTTAAAATCCCAAAGCTACAGAAAAGCAGCCAGGCAGTACCCTGAGCTTTTCCACACTCCTAACCTCGGTTGACAAGTTCAGTGTTTTACTGTGTTTTCCTTGAGTCTTAATCTTCATATATGTATATATGACATGTATGTACATGTACATATGTGTGGGTGGATTTGCTGAACCATTAAAATCAATGTGAAACCCTGGTTTTGGAAAAAAGAAAGAAAATATGCAAAACCATTTCATAACCAAGTCATACAGAATACAGCTTAAGAGAAAGAACTGAAAAACCCCAAAAGAATTATGTAAGTATTACACTAGGAATGGAGGTCCATACATCTAACCCCGTGATCTGTGGGGGCAGGGGATGCAGGAGAACAGGAGTTCAAGGCCATCCTTGGCTACTATATAATGATGTGAGAATTGAAGGCTGTACATAGATAACTCCCAGGGGATCACATTGTTCTCTACGAACAATGTATTGCCATTGTAGATTTCTCTGAACTGAGATCTTTAAAGGACCCACTCTCACATCGACCCCCACTCTTGTATGGTAGAACAATCTGTTACCACTCTTTTTACACATTATTTTAATGACTGTAAATACAAAGCTTTTGTCTTTTTAAATTTTAGGGAATGGGTGTCGCTCTACTGGGACCCACATTTCAAGACCTGGCAACGAACGTGAACAGAAACCTCAGCAGCCTGTCTCTTATATTTGTGGGCCGGGCCTCTGGGGTATTGTGCGGCACCGTGATTGGTGGGTTTCTCTTTGACCACATGAATCAGTACTTTCTCTTGGGTGAGTAACACCAGCCTTTGCTGTCTCTGCCTGTCCTGACTTTCCACCTTGGCTCTATGTGGGAGCCTGCAGAGTGCTTGACAACCGATGTGGACAGAGCTCGGGGGTCTTTGCTGGCAGCTGGGCTTCTAGACTCCCTGTCCTCACCTTGGCAGCTGCAAGGAATCTGTACCGATCCCTCTGGAAACTTGATCGGCCCTCGGGAGTGAGTGGGGGCAACCCTGGAATGCTGACCTTTCCTGTAATGTGGGCTCTGCTCCAGACTTAACACTGATTGACCAGGAAACTTTGCTTATCTGGGGGTAGGGCGGGGCTTCTGGGGCCACAGGCAGGGGTCAGAATGACTGCTAGAACCTGGCCAGGCTCTGTGGGTTCAGGATTGAACAAGAAGGGACATGAAATGCAGTAGACTGTCTTTGTACCAGTTTCCCATGTCTTAGCATAGTTTTCCCATTGAATTGGCACAATTAAGGGCGATTTAGATGAATGTTATAAGACACAAAGAAAGGGAAATAAGTTATTGCTGATGCTTAAATACCGACTCTTCTTCTGATTCCCTCCCTATCCCCCAAACTAATTAATTCAGCAGCATTTAAGCAGGAACTAGGAAACCGGAAGCATTGTTAGCCCACATCTAAAACTTCTCCTCCGTTCTTAAATGTGTGACACTAAGTAAATAATGTCCAGCCTGTCTCCTTTGCTACAAAATGCTGTGTAACTTATTATGATTATGAATGTACTATAAACCCGCTTAGGTCATAAGTTACAAAAGCCTTACAGAATTTACATGATTTTACATAACCACTGTAGAAGCTTAACTCTCAGTGTTAATTCAATCTTAGTTTGTATTCTTATAGGTTTGATGGTCCTGAGGGATACAGATTTTGCAGCTTATTTTCATTTCTTAATATTAAAGTCTATTTTTGCAGTGGGGGCTCACGCTCGCTAGACAAGCAAGTGTTCTACTACTGAACTATGTTCCCTGCTCCTACAGCTGACGCTTTTACCTTTCTCTCCAGGGGTGTCAATGGTGGCCACGGCAGTGGGCCTTTATCTCATCCCTTTCTGCAAGACAGCAGTCTTACTGATCGTGACCATGTCTGTGTTCGGGGCTGCCATTGGTGCCGTGGATACAGGTGCGTGAAGCCTGTAGTGTCATCTCTGGGGTGGAAACTCCACTAGAAAAGCACAGCAGGCGATGTCCGCTATCCCTTGCACACTTTTGAAATGATGCGGATGTAATCACTGGGTCATGGGGCCGAACCCTTGTAGCAGCTGCTCTTGGTTTTGCTATTGATTTTGAACAGCTGACCACACAGCTGGACTTCATGGCTTTGTTCTATGAGAGCCTGACTGATCTGCAGGAGCTACCTTGGGAATGGCCATCTGTGGTTTCAGTGTGTGTTTGGGGGATAAATTTTATCAGTGTAAATAAGAGGAGTTGAGGGTTTAAAACAAGCACAGGGCTATCATTTGGCTAAGAAAGCACAGAAGCAGACATACAGTTCATTACATCCTGTTTGCTGAGCCAAGAGAGACTCTGTGCTGCTTGGTTTCCTGTTAATTTTTCCTAGAGGTTCTAAATCTCCACAGGTATGGTTTTTCCATTTGTCGGTGTCTATTTGAAAACCTACTAAATACCACACATGATATGGACTTTCCTTCAATTCCTGCTCTCTGGCTCTCCCTTGATGCCCTTTTCTCTTTCCTTTTATTGAACAACAGATGTTTCTTGTAGCATGGATTCTAATCGTTCTTAACAATGAAAACTCAGAGTCAGATGTTTGGGTTGAAGCTGAAGACCAGAGAAGCACTAGCTCTTCCCTCTACCAAAGTTCAGACCAAAGGGGCAATCCTGTCCTCAGACGGCATCCTCAGACTGATGGGGAAGGTTTTTCTGTACGCTGCAAATATGTGTCGCTTTTATTGGCTGGTGAATAAAGCTGCTTTGGTCAATGGACAGACAGGATGTAGCTAGGTGGGAATTCAGAACAAAGAGGCAGGGAAAACAAAGACAAAGGAGAGAGGCCATGCAAATACCAGGAAGGTGGGACAGCCTGGCACATTCTCCTGCAAGCCAAGACCATGTGGAGAAACACCGATTAATAGAAACGGGTTAATAATCAAGAGAGAGCTAGCAAATAAAAAGCCTGAGCCATCAGCCAAACGGTTTCCAATTAATATGTTTCTGTGTGATTAAATGGGAATGGGACAGGGTAGACAGAAACTTCTGTCCACATCAGACTGCTGAGACTCCACTGCCCCTCAGACTGCATATTTCTCTCTCTCTCTCTCTCTCTCTCTCTCTCTCTCTCTCTCTCTCTTTCTCTCTCTCTTATGTCCTCCCACCTTATACCCCTCTCCTTCTCCAACCACATGGCTCCTGTCTCCACCTACTTAGTGCTGGGATTAAAGGCCTGTGGCTCCAAGTGCTGGGATCACCTTTGTGAGAGCTGTTTCTCTTTCAGCCTGGATCAGTTTTGTGCAGCCCATAGTGGCCTTGAACTCACAGAGATCCATCTGCCTCTGTCTCCCATGTGTTGTGATTGATGGTATGTGCCACTTCTAACTGCTGTGGCTGTGGTTGCTGTGGCTGCTGGGATTAAAGGTGTGTGCCACCACTGCCTGGTGGCTGTGGCTGACCGGTGTGGCTGACTTTGCACGCTAACCCTCAGGCACGCCTTCTTTGTTAGAACATGAAGCATCACCAGCGTTCCCTCTCTCTGCTCCTCCAAGGCCTCCCACACCCCTTCTCATCTAGATCTGCTCCCGTTCTGTCTCTTATTAGAAAAGGACGAGCTCTTAAGGGGTAATAGTGAAGTTAATATAATAAACGTTAAAGGGAGAGCTTTACATTGGACTTGAACAAAACAAACAAAGGAAAAGAGCCCAAGAGAAGGCACAAGAACAGAGACCCCTCGTTCACGCACTCAGGAGTCCCATAAATTGAACGGGAACCCATGACAAACAGGGAGAGGACCGGGTGCAGACCTGTGCAGCCCTGAGTGTGCTGCCGCAGTCTCTGAGTTCACATGAGCTTTGCTCTGTTCATTTAGAGGCCCTGTTTCCTTGGAGTTCTCCACTCCCTCTGGCTCTCACAGTCTTCCTGTATCATCTTCAGCAGGGTTCCTTGAGCTCTGAGGGGAGGGAATTGATGGAGGGCTGAGTATTCCAAGGTCAGTCAGTCAGTCAGTAAGTCTATCAGTCTGTCTCTCTCTGTACCTCTCTCTATTCTATGTGTGTGTGAGAGAGAGAGTGTGAGTGTGTGTGTGTGCATGTGTGTGTGTGTGTGTGTGTTTTCAGTCTGTGGGTCTCTGTGTTTGTTCCAGTCTGCTACAGGAAGCTTCTATAGCGACAGCCAAGCTAGGCACTGATCTGCTTCCCTGGCTGGAATGTCCCTCGATATTCTGATGTTATTTGATACATCATGCAATATTTTTAATACAGATTTCATTTGGTTGCAAAGTTACAAACTAGAATTATATGCTTATCTCAGAGCAACTGGTTAAAATAAAATATCAACGGCTTGGTGCTTAGGGTTTCCCCCTGCCGGTGTTCAGTGCTGTGTGGATTCAGAGAGATGTGCGGTTTCCTGTAGCGGGAGCACCAGAGCCTAGGGTATCCAGGTTAGGGTATCCAGGTTCCTAATGGAATGTTTTACATTTACTCCATCCACAATGTTCAAGTGGTGGCCAGAAAGCTTTGTTATTTGGCCTCTATCTGATGATAAAATTTTGCCTACTCAACACAAGCATTTCAAACACGTGTCATGAATAACTCTATGGTATTGCTCTGCAGTGTGGGGTCAGCACTGTTTATAACAGCTCTCTGCTAGTGTTTCTGGTTCCAGAGGGGTAGTGTCCACCAGCTTGTAGCATTCCCTGTGTGAGTCTAAAATATCATAACACACAGTTTTCTGGTGTTCATGGGTCAGGTCCTTAATCAGAATCACTTGGGGCCAATATTGGCTTACTAAGAATATCACAGCATTTCTGCCTTGTGACACAGGCTCAGCCTCTTTTCATAGTAACGACTTGTTGAGTTTTCCCTACACTACCTTCACTAACTGACAACTTACCCATGTTTCATTGGCAGGTGCAAATGTCCTCATCTTGGACCTTTGGGGGGACAAAGGAGCCCCACACATGCAAGCCTTGCACTTCAGTTTCGCCTTGGGTGCCTTCCTGGCTCCCCTGCTGGCTAAATTGGCCTGGGGTGCATCAGCCTCCACTCAGAACCACACAGAGCCCGGCTTTGACCCTCTAGTGATGAACCGGTCCTCTGAAGCCACCTCAGACTCTCTGTTTGCGGTACCCGAGGACATGAACCTGCTGTGGGCTTACGCTTCCATCGGAACCTATGTTTTAGTCGTTTCTGTCTTTCTGTTTGCTCTGTTTTGTAAGAAAAGCTCAAGGCAGAGAAATTCCACAGCATCTGTTCAGAGAACTCGAAGAGCCAAATATCACTGGGCCCTGCTCTGTCTCCTCTTCATCTTCTTCTTCTTTTACGTTGGAGCCGAGGTGACCTATGGCTCTTACGTGTTCTCCTTTGCTACCACCCATGTTGGCATGGAAGAAAGCGAAGCAGCCGGCTTGAACTCCATCTTCTGGGGGACCTTTGCTGCCTGCAGGGGCCTGGCCATCTTCTTTGCAACAGTCCTACAGCCTGGAACCATGATTGTGTTGAGTAACATTGGCAGCCTTGTCTCGTCTTTCTTTCTGGTGCTTTTTGACAAGAGCCGTCTTTGTCTGTGGATCGCAACTTCTGTGTATGGAGCCTCGATGGCAACCACATTTCCCAGTGGCGTTTCCTGGATTGAGCAGTACACCAGCATCAGTGGGAAATCTGCAGCTTCCTTTGTAATTGGTGCTGCTCTGGGAGATATGGCAATGCCTGCAGTAATTGGGATTCTTCAAGGACACTACCCAGATCTGCCAATAGTTCTGTACACCTGTCTGGGGTCGGCCATATTCACTGCTGTTTTATTTCCTGTGATGTATAAATTAGCCACCTTACCCCTGGAACGCCAGCGCAAAGGAAAAAGAAAACCTGAGGACCAGAAAGCTTTGTCCACTAGTTCTCGGCTATGAGCAAGAAACTAAATGAGAAGATACAAAACAAAAAGGGATGAGATGGGGTTTGAAGTGGCTGAAATCAGTGACCCAGTGATCTGGGTTCAAGATGCTATGCTGGAGCCCCAAAGCGCCCTTCTACTGTATCCTTGAGACACTCCTGGACCTATGGGACACACACTTAGAGGCGATGACTTAGTGACTTTGCTGAATAAAGAGTTAATCAACTGGAGAGTAAAGATTTTTAAATACTTACTGCATTCAAGCTTTCTGGGCCTACTTACAGGGTAAGCTAGAAAATGAAAGGTTTTAAATTTTCAGCCTTCCACAAACTACGGAGTGGTCTCCTGTACTACAGTCTTGCTAGGAGACTTGTTTTGGCAGATGAGAAGGTGATGTCATGGTGTCACCTTTCCGAGTATATGAAGAAGGCTGTTGGGGTTAGGAAGCTCCGTGCTTTGCTCAGCATTCGGCCAAGTGTTCTGGGACAGTCTTTGTGAATGCATTCTGCAGGGTCACATGTTTCCACAAGCACTGCAGGGCTAGGTCACCATGTGCCAGTGACGATGACTGATTTCAGTTTTGGTTTGGTTTGGTTTTCTACACAGGAGACACAGAGCAAGGTTTCAGCTATGTGTGACTTCTTGACATGACTCTTTCTTTTAGGTCTTCCCTGAAACACTCAGCATAGGCCTCTATGTCATCTCCAGACGCCAAAAATGAAGATGACATAGCTTCCAAATGGAAAATCTATACACCATGAAGTTTTTGCAGGATGTCTCCTAGAAATTAATGTATGCTCTATCTCACGCAACGCTGCAAATACTGAGTGAAACAAAGATGAGGAAAAGTTTAACTGAGAACGTGATACCCGTTTCATTTGCCATTTAATATACTCAATACTCTTACGAAAAATTCCATTGCAGTGCAGAGTTGAGTCCATCATAAGGTTCCACCCTCTGCACTGCTAACGCCTCTGAAATCAGTATACACCTTACAGTCAATCATTTATCACTGGGGCAAAGTTACTTGGCAGTGTTTTCTCATATACATGTATAAAATAATGCTCTGCCCACTACTGCATCCAATGAAATAGACCCCAATGAAAGATTCTCTGTCATTCTTCAGAAGCCTCAAACATCCGGAGTGTTTGCTTGGAAGTTCAAGCCCAGTCTCTATGAGACTCAAGGCAAACGTGTAGCCATGAGCTTTTCTGAAGATTGAAAGAGACAGGTATGCTAGCTCATGGTGGCATGAGTTTCAGGCCAGCCTCAAATACAGAGAGACCACGTCTTTAAGAATAAAAGAATGTGAATACTTCCAAACTACCATGGCAGAGCAGTCACATTAAAATCTCCTCCAACAAGAGAATAAAAATAGCCAGACCACAAGACAAACTCACAAGGGAAGACACTAAACCCTTTAGCCCCATGCCCAGCACATGAGGTATAAGAGGACAAGCTGTGAGCCCCCATATCCTGGATTCGCTGGTTGTAAGACACATTCTCATTCTCTTTGGCTGGATCTGTTTGTTCACTCCTGATAGCTTGGTATGTTTGCCCTGGTCTTGGCAGTCTACATTCCTGTGGAACCTTTGATAGCCTTGCTTACCTTCATGTCATTGTCCTGTAAGAAAACACGTGTGAACATTCTGATCCTTCTGCACAAGCCCTGACCTCCTGGGACTTCCTTTGAAATGTTGGTGGAAGCCCAGGTAACCCATAAGTCTTTCCTTCAGTACGCTTGCATAATCAGCATCCATGACGCTGCTGAGGTCTAATGCCATGGTGAATTATGCCTGCATTCCCACGGACCCAGGTTGTGGCAGCTTCTTGGTGTCTTGCTGGGTGAACATGAGGGTTTTAGTGACTTTTCTGTTGCTGTGATAAGATGCCCCAGCAAAAGCAACTTACTTAAGGGAGCATTTATTCCCACTCAGTTTGGGTGTTTAACCTGGCATGGCTGAAGAATGGAGTTTGAGGAAGCTGACCCTCCGGGCTCTGTCTCTCCAGTCTGGAATTACAGGTGTGTCCCCAACACCGGGCCTACAGCTGACCCTCCTGTAGCGCCCACGCTACGATCTGTTCCATGAATCGAGCGAAGGCCTAGAGATTGAAATAAAGACAAGACCAGGTCTTTCATTCAATGGCAATGTCGGAATGCCAAATTGAGGGGATGGAATGGACTTAAATACTGACTCACAGCACAGTGGAAAATTACAGGAATTTTAGGCTTAGCTCCTCCCTATGAGGTGTGTGTTGTCATGAGGTGTGTGTTATCAAAACGGGAAGAGTACCAACAACAGCCTTGGGGCAAGGAGTTCCAGCCAACAGCTTCAGGCTTGCTCAAGGTGCCTTGGGGTCCTACAGGTCCCCTTTCTTTTAATGTAAATAACACCTGCCTTAGGTGGCAGAGGACGTCAGCATAATTCCTTACCCGTCATTGGAGAGGTCACCCAGTCTCGTAACCCCCGTCTTAGGTTGGATATTTGCCCCCTCTGCCTTACCCATCTCTGGTGAATAGTTTGTCAGCCACACGTGGGCAGAGGCGTTTTCTCTTGAGCCAAAGACAGTAGACTCTGTCTTGTTTGAAAGTTGGCCTGGGCCTGTTTAATGCTGTGGGGAAGTAGCACCACGTGCAAGGGTTACGAACCCCAGTGAGAGAGCTTGCCCAGTCTCTAAATAATCTGCCCGCGAGCTGAAGTCCCTGTGAAAGGCCTTCTGCACTGGCAGGTGGTACTCAGGGTTCATTGATGTTAATGGTCTGCATGGCTAAAGCATGTGTATAATTTAATCACTCCATTATCCCTGGAGAAAAGTGATGCATTAACACAGATACGTGTGAAAGACAGAGAACAAGAAGCCATATGAGCCTCTCACAAAAAATCAAGTGTTCATATATAGGAGGCTAGTTTGTAGATTGAGTTTAAAAATGCCAATTTGTACTAGATAATCAAGTGTGTTTTGGGTGGCTAAGGCTTCAGCCAAATCACCTGATAGTTGATTTGCTGTGCTTGCAGTATTTACAGATTGGGAGAGGGCTATGGTAGAAACTGCTGCTTCAGTGGCGGAGGCGGCACTGGCAGCCGTGATCCCAAAATCTCCTTTCCTCTCTGCTGCACACCTGGGGTACATGGGCCAGGACAGCTGTTACTTCATACGTCCAGAAACTAACCAATCAGCAGACCTGCTGAGAACAATTGAAACTTCCTCCAAAATTAGTAGCATTGGTAACAACAAAAAGAAGGGAATCAGATGCCTGAGATGAAGGTGAAATTCTTATCCTTTGGATCAAAGCGTAAATTTATAGCCGCTTGACCCAAACTATAATTAGTGGTCAGGAAGAATGGCCACGTAGGGCTACTCAGACCCACAGGCATCAGAATGGGTAGATTCTTGAAGACCCATCCGACTTTTTGTTTGGCTGTTTCAATCATGATTCCCCCTCCCCCATATGGCGAATCAGCCACTCAGGCACCCAGACAGGGTTATCCGCGTCTTGTGGAAAGACACAAACCGACCCTCGGGCCCATACTAGAACCGGGTCAGGGCCGCACCATTTTCCAGCAGTGACATTCTTCCACATAACTGAGCCATAGTCAGATACCGAGGGCGCAATGCCTGCCGGCCGCAGATCAAGCAGCACTATCAATAGTTTAAAAATTAAAATATAAAGGACCAGAGAAATGTGATTATGAGGTGACCCTGTAAACTCCCCCTTTTTTGTTTTATGAAGATAGGCTTTAATTGTGTGATGTGCACACTCCACCATGGCCTGACCCTGAGGATTATAAGGGATGCCCGTCTTATGTGAGATAAAAAAATTTTGCAAAAGGAGTTGAAACCTTGATTAGTATATGCAGGGCCATTATCAGTTTTTAATTGTCTGGACACCTCCATATAAGCAGAGGCTTGCAAACAATGGCTCTTAACATCCTTAAGCTTTTCTCCAGTATGGGCAGAGGCAAATATGAGATGAGAATGGGTATCCACAGATACATGAACAAATTGTAGTCGGCCAAAGGATGGGGAACATCCATCTGCCAGATATCATTAGGCGTGACACCCCAGGGGTTAACTCCAAGGTGTGGAACAGGTAAGAACTCTGCACATTGGGGACAAGTCTTAACTATATTAATAGCTTGGCCTCTAGTAATTTTAAAATGGAATTTAAGTGACCCTGCATTAAGGTAGAAGGTTGTATGAGCTTTGTACATTCTTCATAACCAGATTCTCTCATCATCATAATGGCACTATCTGTTTTAGTATTAAAATTAGCAATGGCATTTCCTTCACTCAAAAGGCTGGGCAAATCAGAATGCGCTCAGAGATGTCCTACAAAAATTTGATGAGAGCGCCTCCATAGTAGGCTTTGTATGACTAGTAAATGTTCCTGTGCACGAGAGGCCAGAGTTCCTAAGGGAGCCAATATGTGATACACATATTTACTGTCAGTGTATAAGTTAAATGGCTCATCAGAAAAATGATGAAGGGCTAATTGTATTGTAGCTAGTTTAGAAAATTATGCAGACTTCAGTTTAAGTATAGAGCGTTTGATAATGGGAAAGGAAACAACTACTGCACAACCATTTGAAGAGCCATCTGTAAATACATTGCGGGCTCCCTTTAAAGGATTTTGGAAAATAATCTTGGGGAAACACACAGGGAGATTATTTTTTAAAAAGAGCTAACTTACTGGAAGGAAAATGACTATCAAAGTGGCAGGGTGTGGAACACAAGAAATGTGCCCACTCCTCATCAAACTGTTGAAGCCATTGTATCTGTTGTTGAGTATAGGAAGTAAAAATTACATCCGGGATCTTGTCAGAAACTTGAAGACTCATTTTGTATGCCTTTTGAATAATACAAAGCATTGCCTGTGGATAAGATCTAACTGTCTTTCCTGGGGATGCATGTTCATCATGCACCCATAATATAGGACCAGTTTGCCAAAACACCATGGTAGGGGAATACGCTGAAGCAAAAACTAATAACATCAAGTTCTGAGAATAGTCAATATAATTCAAATGTGCAGATTGGAGGCA